AAATGACTTTGCTACATAGTATTACGAAGCCAGTGTAGAAGTTGAAGCAGTCGGAGAATGGTCCCCCTTTCAGTAGCAAGCACCAAACACGTCCCTGCTCTGGAAGCACTCTCGTAGTAACCACTAGTCTCAGGAACACTCTCATAGCAACTCTGAGGTATAATTGTAGCTTGCCCCATGTAAGCAATATTGCACCTGGTATTGTAGCATTGATAACCAATCACCCATCTCATCATACAAGTATCATCAGAGCATTAATATTGAATAGCATATTAACTATTTTACAGGGCTGTATTTACACAGAATTTCTTGTACTACCACTTGAATGAGCATGGGCAAACATTACATTAGTATGTATCACCTTGAGCACACAGCTGGATGTGGCACACTGAGGTAGCACACAAGGACGGCGCCAGGCTGCGGTACTCCGGGGAAGAGCGCCGCGGGCAACACAAAGTCGGTGCCGGCAGCGGACATGTTCATGTGGTTGAAGAGCACGAGTGCACGCACATGCGCCATCATCTGGTCATAGACGGTGCAGCCACATGCGCGGCGCTGTAGTTGCTTTGCGAGCTGTCTATGCCGAGGTCAAGGACGCGGCTCCCATTTGTGCTCACGAGTGCCCCCGCTACAGCGAGCACCGCATAGAAATTCGTATTTGTGTTTGCGCTAGCCACACTCGCACCACCTACGACACCCGCCAGCAGCTCGAGCAGGTTGTACAATATGCCCAGCTTGTGCGTGCACAGGTACACGCCTGAGTAGCCGACGCTTGCCATCTGCAGCGCATAATCCACCATCCAGAGGCTGACAGCGAGCTTGTTGGACCTGGGGATTCCACCACAAGAGGTGGAATCAAACTCGTCCATCAGTAGGGGCTGCGCTGGTTGGACGGTGTCGAGACGATGGCCTGGAGGTCCAAGTGCCAACCCCGGTGAGCCTTCGTACACGGTACCTGTGCGAGCTGTGCTTATCACTTGCTCTCCGCCACTCACGGGCCTGTCTTCACTGCTCAATGATACGCCACTGAGCCTCTCTCGCTGGTATTCATGCTTGCTGTTCAATGGTGGGCGCACCCACGTGTCTCTCGAGCAGCCGCACAGGATGCCGGTCATTGCGCCTGCCAACCTGCCCGCCAGCCTGGCACCTCCACCGCCGCCTCCACTGGACGACTACCTACCCATTCTGCATGGCTGCCTACCTGCTATCTGCCACTCTTCCTCCACTCCTGCCCCAGTGCTGCACAGCCTCCTGCTTCTGCCGTGACTGCTTGACCGCTCGACCGCGTTATGGCAATAATGAAGAGCTGCATGGCCACAGTGCGTCACATCAAAAGTAGTTAGTGACGGAGCCCATCTTCAATCTCAGAACACTTACTTTGCTTGTAGCATATCACCTACTCGTCATCGCAGGGCAGAGCTAAGGATGGGAGAAGAACTGAGACACAACGACGTGGCAACGAACCAATAGCGCCATCAGTTTAGGGCCAGCGTTGACAGACTTGGACAGTCGTGCATTGCTCCAAGCGCCCGCGCAAAGTAGTGTCTCATTCTCGTGTGCGGACTTTCTGAACGACTGTAGTACTAGCTAGTTGGTTACAGAAATCATTATATTACTACAAAATGAGTAATTGTGGCTATAATGAAAACAGAAGGTGAGCCTCTACTCCAATGCCACTACTGCAACTCCTTATGCTACGCGGCGGGCAGCTCCGCGCGCCGCTAGCTTCAGACGCTTCGGACGCTCCGGTAGTGAAGCCCCCACTATGGCGCCAAACAGTGTTTCCTGATGTGAAAGTCCATGGACATGGTGAAGCCAGGGCTTCGCTCCCATAGCTTCTTGACAGATACATATCTGCTTGATGGACCTGTACAGACATGAAGCTGCAAATCTAGGGCTGCTGATAATGCTCTTGAGGAACTGTATGTCTTCGGCGTCGCGCAACTCAAGTTCCAGGTAGTGATTTGACTGGCTTGGCTTGGCCCATCAGCCGGTGGCTTTGGCTTGGCTTCGCCAGGCTTGGGCTTGCGAAAACCCAAGCCAATCCGCAAGCCGCTGCAAGCCATAAGCCAGTGGCTCGGCTTTGGCTTGGGCCGCGGCTTGAAACCTAATTAGGCAGGTGTAGTGATGTGCGGGCCCGGCTTGGGCTTGTGACGACGTCGAGCCGAGCCCTGAGCCCGAGCCGAGCCCGAGCCCGGCCCAAGCCTTGGGCTTAAGCCCAGGCTTGCTCACAATACAACGAGTGTTCCGGTGCTATCAAAAGGGAATGTATTTGGGTGTAG